CCCATTCTAAAGGCCAACTACCTTGTTAGAAAAATGAAACTTAGCTGAAGATGATTCCTACCTTGCCAAAGATTATATTTGTGGCCCCTAGTTCCACTATTCTCACTGTTAAATATGAAAAAAAAATGATGCATCAACACTATCAATTCCTTTTACAATCTTAAACACCTCAATCAGATCCCCTAACTCTTCTTTTCTCAAGAGAAAACAATTTGAGTTATTTCAGCGTATCCTTGTATGACAACTCCTCCATCCCAGACACCATTCTAGTAACCCTTTCCAACAAAGCAATGTCTTTCCTAAGGTAAGGAGCTCAAGACTGAACACAATATTCCAAATTTGGCCTCACCAGTGACCTGTACAATGAAATTATAACCTCTTAAGACTTGTATTCATTATTTCTGTAGATACAACCTAAAATCCTATTTGCTCTACCATTAGCAACAGCACATTGCTTGGATTGCTTTAGAGACTGATCAACTACTACACCAATATCCCTTTCCTTCATAACACTATGAAGGTTATTCCCATCCAAATTATACTTATAGTTCAAATTATGATAACCCACATGCATTCTCTTGCATTTATTATAATTAAAACCCATCTGCCATTTATTTGTCCAACTCACTAAATGATCTAAATCCTTTTGTAAATCAGCAGCATCCTCTTCATACTTACCAACACCCAATACCTTAAGAACCCCATCTACAAATTTAAGTACTTTATTGACTATTTCCTCATCTGTGTCATTGATGTAAATCAAAAAGAGCAAAGGTCCTAAGACTGAGACCTGAGGTACCCACTTGCATCTTGTATATTTACACTTGTAAGTTAAGTGCTATGTTTTATATCAAAATTCAAAATATCAGTATTTTAAAGACTAGTTGATTTATCTGTTGTAATTTTTAATCACACTATAAGAATATTTTAAGCTACCTCCTAGAAATATCTTGATTTAATTTTTTAGTCCCTCAGAATGATTGAATGTACATAAAATTTCTAAGAAGGAAAAAATATATATAGTATGAGATTGGTAAAATAGTCATATTTCATTAAATAATTTGGTTCAAAATTGATATAAGTGTTTACATAATTGTGTTTTGTGGAAGTTTGCAGGAGTACATTAAAAATAAAAAAGCTTCTTAGATGACAAGATTAATGTTAAATTCGAAATCTATTCAGTTCCATAATTATTTCATAATGTTTTAATTGAGTAGTAACATCTCTTTTTACTTTATGTTAATTTTCCAAGTTACAAAACTATCAGAAGATTTGATATGATTATTTTTGTCAAGGTTTTAAAATTCAGTTTGTGTTAAATGAAATAATTGAACTATAAAAGTTGATAGTGGAAGTGGTCTTTAACTTTGCTAACTATTATACTGTATGTATGGTAGTTAAAATATATATCTGTTTTAGAATTAATTATTGTGTCTTCATGTTAAAGTAGGTTTGTTATTCTAGCCTTATTACATATGTTTGCTGGGCCCTTAGTTATATATTTAACCCTAAAAGATTACATTCCTAGGAGATACTAGTGTAGTGGAAGGCAAGCACTTCTCATAAAGATATATAAGTAATAGATGGTGTTACTTATTTTAACCTGTTTATAGGTTAAGTCTTTATTAGTGTTGTGATAAATTCACCTGTGATGTAATGTTTCCCTGGAAAATTATACCATAGCAGGGTTTCTTTTTATAACATTAAAGTGTAGGTAGAACAAGAGTTTGTATGTTTAGCATAATTTGAAAGCCTCTTGTTTGTTTTTTTTATACTCAAGACCTTATGCATGCCTTGTATTTTTTGCAAAATTTGTAAGAGGTTACATTTAGTATTTCTAAGATAATAGGTTTGAATTGCAATAATAATAAAATTTGCTGTTGAATTAGGTGAGGTAGGAATACTAGGTTTAGCAGCATTAGTTCTTTACGACATGATTTATTTACACTTTATGAGCTAATGTGAAATATCTATTCAATTTCTTTGAAACTTAAGTTAATAAATAAATATCTTAATTCTGAATGCCTAACTTTCTGGATTTTCTATTTTACAGAAAATCTTTTTTTTTTCCTCCTTGTTTCTTAAAAATTTGCTTTACATCAAAACTAACCAAACATGTATCTGAAATAGTTGTTAGTAGCATTATGGTTAAGAACTTAGGTTTAGTGGTCCTAAGATAAGAAGGGAATTAATGGTCTACTCACAAGTAAAGTGTATATTCAAATTTTACTTTATGCAAAGACAGTCTTGAGAGATTAAATGATCTGTTGTTGTCCTTTTGTTATGTAAGCAGAGTAAAAGGGTGACTTTAGTGGTTTTCATGCATGTTGTATTTTCAGTTCAAAGAGAGTAATTTTTTCTTCAGATACTTTTCACACCAACCCACAATACCAGTTGATCCTACCAGATACTCAAGAATTACTCATCTCTCTCAACCAACACACTGTTCTTGAACCAAAAGTAATTGGTTTTACTTTATATCAGGTGAGGAATAGCCATTTAAGAATGCAGAAGAATCTCTTTGTAGTTATACATTTTGATTTTTTAAATTTACTATTGAAATGTATAAAATCTGTAAGGAACTGTGGGTGTTTGTTATCTTGCATGCTACATTTCTGGGTTGTGACCTCTGTATAAAGCTCTATTTGTCAAAATGACTTTTTTAGTAATGATATATTATATTTATATCAATTGAAATGTATACATTAATTCTTACAATTATATTTATCATAAGACATTAGTATTTGGCATATTACATTTTCAAACACTACATTCTTAATCTAATTGCTTAGGGATTTTCTTGAATTAAAAGAGCGTGTAATAATAGTATTCCAACAGTTCTATACTTATCCACTGCTGTTAATGTGTCTCATTAAATCCAGATCTCTTCAGGCCAGCTGGTATACAACAAACACAGCAGTGGTTGAAACACTATTTATATAAGCCATTTAACACAATAACAATTGTTATGGCGTGTATGTCTTTTATAAGCTGGTGAAGAATGATTACAATTATATTCATCATAAGACATTAGTATTTAAAAAGTGTGGGTTAATATTAAAAAGATAAAGAAAATAACCTAAGAAAATAACATAAAATTAAGAGAAGTTATAAGTCAGTATAAATGTATACATGCTTAATTTTTGAAAATGATATTTTCATATATATAATAAATTAAAACTAAATATGTATTCTGTTTGAAGCTGCCCAAGTCTCCTGTTGAAACATTAGGAAGATCATTTTTCAAGAAAAACAAGTCACTAGTGAACTCGCAGTATAGCAACAGTAGACAGGTATAGTACATATACTTATATATTTGTAACATAGGTGTCAGAATCCAAGTATATGCATGTGTGTGTGTGTCTAGGGTAGGGAGGCAAAATTAGAAGTAAATCAAACTTGTAAAAATTCTGCTGCAAAGGGTAGATGGGAACTAGAAGGGGTAGGGGACATGTCTCCCAAGAAAATATTTAAAATTAAAGTGTTAATTTGGATCTATTTTGATTAAATTGGGGGGGATCAAGATATGATGGAAATTGGGAACAACAAGCAGAATTAATGCATAAAAATAAGCAGTTTCCTGATGTTTATGAATTATTTTTTATGTCAATCTTCTTATCTCCTATCTTTTCAACTCTGTCTCCAGCTACTATATATATTTTATAATCTTATATGTTCTTAGTAAGTCATTATTTTGGAGAAAACATACAGTTTTAGTTGTAGAAATTGTAAAGTTACCAACATTTATATTAGGCTGAAGTGGGGGTTGATTCCTCTGTATTTGAGATGAAGGGACCTTGGCCTTCATGTACTGATGTCTTTGTATAATATTATTATAAAATAAGCATTTCCGTAAATTTCCTGTTTTATAGAATGCTCTGTGTTTTATTTAAATTTCCTCAAAATATTATTGTAGCTTGAATAAAAATAAATCGTTACTTTAAAAACAAAATCAATATCAAATCCAGATATCCATGAAATGTGACCTTGATCAAGGTGGCTATGTACTTTTACCAACAACCTTTGAACCAGGACAGGAAACCAGCTTTACCTTACGTGTCTACTCAACCAAGTTGATTAAACTAAAGTAAGTGGATTACGTGTTGTTTTTGCTAAAAATAAAAACCCAGTAATTCATTATTTGTAGTATATGAACACTGATAAATCATTGAATATTTGAAAAATAAGCTGCATATATGTGAAATTTTTTTACCATTTTAAATTATGAAAAAATTCAAGGTGTATTCCAAAGCTTGGAAGTGTTAATCATTTTTATGGTGAAAATATTGTGGAGAATATTTAAATTTTTAACAATTAAGAATTTGTCTTCAAAATACTATTTTTTTTTTTTAGTTATTCATATTAATTATGGTAATATTTTTAAAGTCTGCAGTTTTGTTTTAAAATTAAACATGATATTTCTTTAATAATTTGTTGTTTTTTTTATTACTAAAGATTACTTGATTGTGTACCTGCAGCAGTGAAACCAGCAATTATGAAGGTAAACCCATTTAAACAGATTTTATGTAAGAAATACAGAGACTTTTTCATATGTGGACCCTTGTTAGAAAGTGTTTTATGTAGATATGTTGTACATTACATTATGGAAGAAATGGGCTTTAAGAATTGTCATAATAATCTTTATAACTTAATGTATTTGATGAAGGTTAAATTACTAAATTGATCAAAACTTTGAAGAAACTCTTTGGGAATTTTGAGCAATTTGTAAAAGTAAAGAATAAAATAACTAAAAGACATGGGCATGTAATTGCCACAGTGCTTTAATTTATAGATATGTAGTTCTCTACTGAGTAGCTAGTTTAGATTTATAAACTTTAGTACTACTGTTTTAGGATGAGATTTTGGAGAAACTGTTTGGTTATTTCAAATCAATTGTTTTAGAAATAAAATGCATCATAATTCTTATCTTTTAAATAATTTTGATAAATAACCAGTTGTCAAGAAGCAAAGTTCTGTTACATAAATTATAAATTATTTGAAGTTATGCAATTTCTCTGGTTTCATCTCGGACACTTACTACTCTCGTACAGTAGAATTTAGTCTGTGTATTGTTGTTAATACCCGTGGATTTATACATGAACAATGGAAAATCAAAAAACAATAATAATAACAATTTACTTTTGGAAGAACCAAGACTGTAAAGTAGAGACTGAATTGATACAAACTTGTTCTAAAAACGTTTTAAGTACCAGAAGTTGTCTTTATAGTCTTGAGTTTAGAAGTTAATTTACCACTTCATAATAATATTGTAAATAAAGGTATATTTTTTTATTATTCTAGGCTCCTCCTTCTTTTGATAGTAAAGTCAGCTCCTACGAAACCATTTTCTTACAACTGGCAGATGAGGTAGGAGAAGTTTGAAATAATTTTCACTTACTAAGTTGATAATTAAAATTTAATCTTATGTTCTCTAGTGTTTCTCAAACTAGGCAAATTCATTTTTGGTTTGTCCAGTAATGTAATTTGTGTTATCTTTCCAGTTACCTAGAAAATATTTTTGATAAATTCTTCAATTTCCTAGAATAAAGGCTAGATCATATTATGCATATTTAAGCATAAAACAGTATAAACAGGTGTATAATGATAATTTTTTTCACACTGGGTGAGCTCGAAGTGAGAATTAATTTTCACAGCTTAAAGAGATCACTGCTTGTGTAACATAACAACCCACTCTTTGTCAGTACTAACTTATATGAACATTAGTTGTTGCCTTGTCATGACTTCTAGGAAAAACAGAACCTTTAGCAACATATTTATTTGTTAATGATTAAAATGAAAACTTCAGTGGTGAAATACTAAAAAAGTAAATCATATAGATACCCTTGATGAATCTTACCTCCTTTTTCTCAGTGATTGAAACAGCCAAAGTTATATGGTTTCCTGTTATTATGGAAATTTGGTTAGCTGGTAGGCCTATATAAGAGAAACAGTTGTGCACATTTTCAGACTAATATTCAAATTTGTACTAAGTTAGGCCTTCTCAAAGATATGGAAGCTCAGAATTTTTAAGATATCTTTTAAAATATGTACTGTTTAGGTTATTATGGAGACGAAAGATTGTGTCTATCTGGCTGGAATTTTCTTCTTGAGATGACGTAACTCAAATTATTATAATTCTGATATAACATTACCCTTTGGCTCAAATGTACACACTCAATGGCTTATCAAACTTTAAATTTTATGTAGTTACAAGTATATAATAATACTTTTTAGATTTTAACTATATGTTATTCTAGAATCTCAACATTTGCACACAGTAAATTGATAAAAGCATAGAACAAGAGAGCAGAATTCAAACTTTAGGAGATACACATTGAACAGAATCTACTTTAGCTGTGACGTTAGGATTGTGTAGACAATATTTTTTTACCTTTGGCATAACATTTTTCTAGTTTAGTTAACTTTTCTTCTTTTCCTTTAAAAAAAAGGTACAAGATGAAATTTTATGTGTGAATGAGCATTATAATAATTTCTTTTCAGGCACATTGTGCTTATATATTAAGACTAAAAAACACAAAATCCAACAGTTTTTGGCAAAATGAAAGGTAAAATCTTTATTATTGGTTATAGCCAATTAATTTCAGTAGCCTTATGATGGAGCTGTTTTACCAAAACTAGATTTTACCTTTCGTTGTGCCAAAAAATATCAGGTTTTGTGTTTTTACTTTTAATATTAAGCATCATAATTGTGGACTTTTTTGTATATACTATTTCTATACAGACAACAGATTTTTTGTATTTCACAATATAACATGTTTTGTTTCACCTAATTTTTGTCACTGCTTCTGTGTTAGTGTCAGTGTTTTATGTATATGTGGGCTAAGGATTCTTCTACAGTAGGTGTCTGTGACTTGTTGGCGATAAATTCGACAATAAATGGACAGTACACACTCCACTTGTTTTAAAACAATATATTCAAAACAAGCCTAACTATGTTCAAATATTCTTTACACTATGGATATCAGTTGTATCTCAAACCCTAAATAATTTCTTATCAAAAGTCCACTTAGGCTGATTCAATTACTTTAGAATCCAATTGACAAGATGAACTATTTTTCTCTGCTCTTATCACAATAGTATCAGTGAATAATTCACTTACACTACCCCATGGGTTACCACAGTTGTATCCTGAACTTCAAATAATTGCCTCCTTTTTGTCAAATATCACACAGATGAGTTCAATTACCTTAGAATTCTTTCACCCTTTGACATGACAAATTATTTTCCTTATCTCTATCAAACTGTGAAACTCACTTTAAAATATTGCCTGTTATGGCTAATCACTCACCTGCCGACTAACTTCACATTTTCTTTCACTAACTCATTTTCTGACTGAACTGCACTTATTTTCTTCACTTTACTTCACTTGACTTGTGCTCGCTTGGTTGCCTATATTTATATTTTGCCCAACTGAGGCCTCAAGCTTTCTCTAAACAATTTGAGCAGCACTGTAAGTTAACAATACTCACTTAAGGTAATGAGAAAAATGCCAAAAATATCCAGTAATGTGACATCAACAATATTAGCAAAGCCTAGACAACAATGTAATTGCAAACACAATGTATGACTCATACAGAGTTACATAATGAAATTTTGTTACAGCCAACACTTAAAACAATTCATCTTCAACACTCCTGTCTTAAAACTAAACAATCATTAAATATTAACTCATAAAATAAATTAAACAATAATGTCTACTTTAAACAGACTTGTATCTCCAACAGTTAGAAAGTGATGGTTTAATTGTTATGTCACTCAGATAACCTCTGCATGTTAATAACAATGTACAAGTTCATAATTTGATATTAGGACTGTATCATGTATATTCCACAAAACGTTTTCTAGCACATTAAATGTATATGGAAAGAAAGTGAGTGGCATGGTTGCTGACTTCAATGCTAGTTTTATATTAGAACTGTATCATGTGTGATATGCAGGCATACAATGCATTTTACACCTTCTTATTTTATTATAGAAATTTTTGTATATTATAAAGTTATTCAGTTTTTGCATAACAAGTAGTCTAGAAAACCATCAAGTTAGCTTCGTTCTAACTACCTTTGTTATTTTCTGGAGATAATACTGTTCTATCAGTGAGGGGTATTGTTATAATGCTGTATATTGTGCAGTAATGTAAGTATCCTTCAATGGTAGGTCAAATGATATATTGAGGTTATGGCCTCTATATCAAATGGTAATGACCAGTCAGGTGGATGGTGTTAGTCACTAGGGATAATTCCGACATTTTCTATTACATAAGATATATTAGATTTAAATGTTATACAAGATCTCAAGTGAGTTGGTTGATGGAAAAACACCTCAAGGAAACAAGATCAGTTAATTGATTCACAAGCCTAGTGAAAGGTGACCACCCAGTGTCAGTTGCATGTATGGACACTGTATTTTTGTCTTGGATAAAGACTTCTCATTTTGTATTGTACATAGTGTCCAATGTCTTTATTTCTTAGCTTTAAACTTAGTATCATTAAGTGATTTGTCATGCTGATCCTCCCATTATAAAGTTGGCATATCTAAGACTCTTGGGAATATAAAATGTATATATCACAGAATTTATTCGAGTACATTAGATGCATATGGCAAATAAAGTGGTATAGCTACTGACTTGTATACTATGCTCAAATAAGACACCTTAGTACAGTTATTTTAACAATACACTGTATAAAATAAAATGTTACATGCTTAAGCTATAGGAAACATTGTTGTTTAAAGAAATTACTAAACTTTTTTCCATCTTGTGCTACATATGAAACTCAACAAATGTAAATAAATTTAAATCTATGTTTATTTATAAGCAAGATTATATTGTTGCTAATTTTTCCTACAGAGTAAGCGACAGGAAATTATTAAAATTATATTGGTTTTGTAATTAAAATACATATAATTAAAAACAACATCAGACACCTTCCACTTTTCTTGTATGTCAAAAGTCACAGCTAAAGTATGTATCCATATTTCAGAGCCATTTTAGCCAGATAGATATAATATTTCAACCAGAGGCATCACTAGGCACTGGCACACAGGGCCTGTGCCCCGATTCTACTTAACAGTGCTCCAAATCCAGTTGGTATCTTGAAACATCTGAATGGAAAACCATGATTGATATTGTACTGAAACACTGAAACTCCCTTGCCTATGGTCCAAGTCCTGAATTTTTTTTAAGTACCTAATGATGCCTCTGAGTTCAACTGAAAATGAACTGAAAATGAAAATATACCCATCCTGCCTAAATGCAGGATGGGTATATATATATATATATTGCAAATTCTTTCAAAACCTTCATATATTTGGGAGGCTGTAATCTTGTTAATATCTAAGATAATATTCTGAAATTTGTTATTCTTACCTTTGTACATTATCAAAATATCCTTATTGAATTAGAACTAGCTTTGAAATGTTAAAGCTGGAACACATTGCAATATTGGTTGAGTTGACATTCAATGATCTACTATGGCATTGAAGTTAACAATATCCTTTAAATAAATTTAACATTTTGTTATGATGGATTGAGGTTATGGCCTACTCTGTATTAAATGTTAATGTAGAGATAGAGATAGAACCTCTATGCTTTGCAAGAAATGTGTATTTATTGATTTGAGAATCAATTACATAAGTAAAAAGTATAGTATAACCAGATGTGTAAGACTGGTATTGTTGGTGAGAGAAGTAGTCATGTTTAACACAGATTTACAAGGCTAAGTAAGTTCAGGTCACATTTTTACCTGAACCTGAAGAGTAAAGAATATCACATCTGCTAAAAAAAAACAGTAATCCTGACTGAATTTCTATTGCATAAGAATAGTACAATTCAGTCAAGAAAATATTGTAGGAAGGATATTTTTACATATTTGACAACTATAGTGTATTCTACCATTGTTGTAAATTGTGTAAAAATCTATATATAAATTGTAATCTTAACTAGATGTTGCTGTGTCATTGAAGCTAATATATTTTAAACTGCATGTTCATATTTTTCATTTTCATGTTTATATAATTATGTAAAAATCTACATATAATTCATAATCTTAACTGGATGTTGCTGTGTCATTGAAGCTAATATATTTTAAACTGCATGTTTATATTTTTCATTTTCATGTTTATATAATTGTGTAAAAATCTATGTATAATTCATAATCTTAACTGGATGTTGCTGTGTCATTGAAGCTAATATATTTTAAACTGCATGTTCATATTTTTCATTTTCATGTTTATACAATTGTGTAAAAATCTACATATAATTCATAATCTTAACTGGATGTTGCTGTGTCATTGAAGCTAATATATTTTAAACTGAATGTTCATATTTTTCATTTTCATGTTTATATAATTGTGTAAAAATCTACATATAATTCATAATCTTAACTGGATATTGCTGTGTCATTGAAGCTAATATATTTTAAACTGCATGTTTATGTATTTTATAGCGTATATATCTGAAATTAGATATTTACATTATTGTTTTTGTGTGTGAAGAGAAGTTATTGAAAGATTTTATAAAATAATGTATAAGATTTTAAAAATATTACATGCACAGAAGTCAGTTGATTGTGTAATTGTGTCTTTTTAAGTTAATTTTTATTGAATGAATTATTATGTATCAAACATTTATAAAACTATAACAATAGAGAGTAAAGTGATGAAATTTCATTGCCTTTTTAGAACAATTTATAATTGAGAATATTTACCTCATATTTCTTTTTGCATCCTGCTACACATTAATTGATTTTTTTGTGTTTAAAACATTATAGCACAGGTCAGTGAATGTATTTGAACTTCAAGAACTGTTAGAAGCATGCCTTCCAAATGGTATGTCCACATCTAACTATTTGATTAAATATCATAATTTTAGTTTGTTATATTGTAGGGAACTTGAGAGAATGCAAGATATTAGACTTTAACTTTTAGAGTAACAAAAACCAAATACAGTTAAAGAATAGTATTTGAAATTTTTAATGGTACAAATGATGCTTATTGTTTATTTGTAATTAAGCAC